CACTAAAATTGTGATTTTCAAAGGGAATGATAGGTTGCTTTCCAATCTCCCTCTTACACATACATTGCTTGCAAGATATCTCTACTTTACATTAAATGGAAGTATGGTGAAAGACCCACACTTTCATATTTAACATTTGTTACTCCAAAACATGCTACTTGCATATTCATAAAAACAATATTTTACATTGATAAGTTGTTTACATAAGACTAGATACAAACCGACTATCACAATTTTTTTATATGTTACATAACTTCCCAGGATACTATAAGTTATACATACTTGAGTACAAAATACAATAGTTTCAAACTATTCAAAATCTTCCAACAGTATACGATTATACTGGTTACTTATCTTCTGCAATTTGTTAAACATTGAGAGGGGTAAGCGGTGACGCTTAGTGAGTTCAACAATAGATACAATATAACGTTATGCCATATATATACTTCAATATGGCAAAAGCAAAGAGGAACAAGAAACAACAAAGGCATATGTGAATCATGTGACAAACTTTCCATATCAATCAATGATTCGATTCAAAGATATATGATCAATGAGACATGACAATTTCTGTACTTGATATACATCAATAAAGCTTCGGCCCAAATGGCACAGAAGACATACACTTTCTGATTTAACATCTTGGTAGATTTCAGGCTTATAGCCCTGTCTAACCATTTGCCAATACCATAGAATAGAAGTCATTCTCTTACGGAGACTTGCTCTACATGGCCAGAGACTACGTACCAGTACCAATATGAATCTAAGTCCTTTCACTGATCACATGGTCAAATGTATAACTTTGCTATCATAAATAGCGGAAATAATAACAACTGAAAAGCACATAGTACATATAACACATAACATACAATTTTTCCTATATGTTGAACTCACCGTGAAATAACCGGGGGTTAAAATAGTAATTTGGGCAGCACTTCGTTACTATAATTGACTTTCTTCAATGAAAACCAGGAATTTTCTTGAAAACCGGGCCCTACGAGGCTTGGGCTTCAAACCGAAAAGATAATTTCCCGGGCTCTTCGGGAACTTCAGGGCGTGTTTCGGGCGTTGGAAATAATCCCGGGGCTTCGGGGGAAGTTGAAATAGTAGAAATATGAGTTTAGGGGTGAAAAAGGGGCATTTTCTAACATTTACCCGGGAGGTCTCGCACCCCTTATATAGGTGCGAGCCTCGGATCCGAAGCAAGAGGGAGGAGCCAGGTAGCAGCGAAGCTTGGACACGCGACAGCAGCAGCGAGGTTCGGACGCGAGGGGCAGCTGGCGCGCTTCAGACTTGAAACATAGGTGGAACGCGTCGGAAGACTATTGGACCTCGCATCGCTTGGTTCTCCGGCTCGGACACGCGTCTGCATGCGAGAAGGGCGACGTGGCCGAAGCTGTGCCATGCGATTCTTGTCGGTTTTAGTGATTTTCTCGAATTTTGTGCCCCGAACTTCTAAAATCCACAACTTTCGCATACGAGCTCCGTTTTTGACGTTTTTTATATGCACGCGTAAGTAAAGTTATGCTCTACAACTTTCGTTTAGACTTCGTCGGCTAATTTTGACTTTATTTTTAATATTATTATTTTTAACAGACCGGGACAGGAAAATCCGTTAAAAATTCATAACTTCTTCATTCGACGTCCGTTTTCGTCAGTCTTTTTACCGTTGTACTACTAATGATGAGACCTTCGATTCTCGTTTAGGTTGTGTTGGCTAAAAATCATTCGATCTAAAATTCGAGTTTTAGTTGTCTACTGCTAAGCTGAAACTTAGAAAAATCATAACTTCCTCATACGAAGTCAGATTTTGGCGTTCTTTTTATCATAATTATTTGTTTAACAAATACTACGACTTTAGTTTAGATTACTAAGGTTAAAAAGTAGTTTATCAAAAAGTCACTTTTTACGTCATTCGGTGCCGTGCCGGTTTTGTCGCGGATCTTCGATTGGTCATAACTTCTTCGTTATAACTCGGATTTCGATGAGGTTTTCGCCTAAATGCTTCTAATGAAATTATCTACAACTTTGAATAATAAAATTTTACTTATTTCAAATTTTATATTTTTTTTTAAATTTCGATATTTTAACTTTTAGTTGGAATCTCATAAGACTTCCAATATTTTCCGAGTGATTATAAACATAGTTTTACTTCATTTTTAGTAAAAACTATCTTTTAGAACTCAATACTCAATATCACATAATATTTCATAATATTATTTACTTTTAACACGATTTCAAAACGTGTATGTTACATATGAGCTAAAGATCTTACATGCGAGTATACAAAGTGTGAGTAATGCTTGCATTTTCACCGCTTGTTCTTTTTAGAAAAGTATAAAATCCATAAGTTTCTCTCTACTTTCCCTTCCCCCCCCCCCATCTTTTGAAGTTAGTGAAGAGTGTTACTTGTGTAGAAGTGTTTATCCTTTAGTGCTTAATTGTCAAGCACTTAAAGGCTTAAGAAGTCATAAATACAAAAGGGGATTAGCATTCCAAAGTGTCTTACTCTTGATGGTGGATGCATATAGAGAAGTTTAAGCTTCTTGTTCTTGTGCTATCTTCATCAACTCCCCAATTCCAAATGGAATCAAAGGCTCAAAAGGTTATCTTCTTAACATCCTTGTGTTGTTATAATCTTTATATTTCATGTAACTGGATACTCTTGGCGATTTTGTTAAATTGTCTAAAATGAACTAGTTATTTAAAAAGTCTTTCGTTTATATATATATATATATATATATATATATA